CCCATTTTATTATCATTTGAAAAGTCTCGTAAATTAGTGACTTAAAGAAAGATGACGTTTGTAATTACAAAATTTAATTACAAACGTGATCGATGAAAAGGAAAAAACTTTGCTTATATTATTCATTGTTTTTCAAGCTCTATGAATTTGAGAAACTCAGGAATACAATTGTGTTCTGCTCAGTCTACGTCATATAAATCATATAACAAGTGGAAAAAATTTTCAAAAACTTATGAGAAAATCCGCACGTTGCCGGTGATGGTGCAACTTATATCATTTTTTATATCACGTTTCCTCACCGATTGGAAAAAAATTGGAAGGAAAAAGCTGAACTCGGGCCTAGGCTAGCAATGTTATCAAACGTTTTGTGATCCTGCATTTTCATCCGACGATATTTACTAAAACGTCGATCTTACAGTGTCGAAGGAGTAGTTTATTGCAACTGATCAACCAATTCTATCTACATTAAGCGAACACATGTAACAGTTTTGGTATATCAAATAGTAGTTAATAATTACGCAACAGTTTCTGACAAAAGTGATAAACAGCAACCTAATCTAAAATATACCAAAATTTTTGGTGACGAGGGCTGTTGTATATTTTATCTCCTTCTCAGTCTTCACTAATAATGCAAAAACTATTCTGTTCAGGCAAAACCCGGTGCCTACAAATGACAATTAAATTGGAATAAATATTTTCGCTTCCTCATAGACATATTTATCTTCATGCTAACTTATCGCTTCTGTCAGATTAAACCTTTCTAGTAGAAATAATGACTTAAGCTCATTATTATGCAAAATTTTTACATTGACATTACTGCAGTTTTCGTAGTGATACACCTACTGATCTAGTGATACACCTACTGGTCTATTAGAAGATTAAACGCAGATCTACTGCACTTGTTTACTGTGGTTTTTTTCATTATATTTTCTGTTTTAAATATCATATCCTTCATAGTTGCAACGAAGTATGAATGACGTTCGTTTTCTTATCCCCATTTTCTATTCAGTTGCTTTACAAACTTTCCGCTGAATGTTCTTACTTTTAAGATATTGTTTTGGATTAAAATTTTTTCCACCAAGACTTTAACTTATACATATCTAGAAATGCATTGTTTCGGAGCAGTCTTTCTTTTGAAAAAATTTACAACGGAAATAAAGGAAAAAAGGCAAGACGTGCGAGAAAATACAAGCAAATTTTAAACAGAATCAAACTCTTCAGAATAACTTCCTTTTTGATCTTAATGAAGATATATTAGTTGGACAAAAATGACAAAAATTTCTTAATAAAATACATTCTAAAAATTGGAAAATACACAAAAGACAAAAATTTCTTAATAAAATACATTCTAAAAATTGGATAATACAATTACCTACCGATTTCCAGCAAATGAACTTCCAACATTCGTTTAAGCTGTTTCCTATTCTGCTGTTTCAGGTTGAGTCTTTCCTTAATAGTCACCAGGAAATTTACTACTTCAAATCCACTGCTACTTCATGAAGTAGTAAAGGAAGTAGTAAAGAAAACTATACACTAAAAACTGGCGAATATCTATCTACAAACCTTTGCACTCATTCTTTTTCTCTCATGTTATTTTACTAGTGCCCACTTCTAATAATTATTCGATTTTAAGATGACAAATGGATATGAAATGAATATTAGTCTTCGATCACTGCTGACTCATTGAATTGTAACGATTAAGCTAACTGAGAAATCAAATAGCTTGCAATTTCCTGCTTTTCACGTCAGAATACAGATAGTACAATGGCAAGTAACATTTTCTTTTCTATTTATTTCCACATCTTTTTGTTTTGATTTTACTCCGTAGATCAATAGCATAATATTGAAATAATTAAGGTCATTAATGTAACAGTGGCTTCTCGTTATTTCTGTCATCTTATTCCATGAAATGTGTACATAACTTTAGTTGTATTTTGTATTCGTCTATTTTCACCAAAAAAAATAAACCTGAATGTTTGTAACCAATTCGATAGTTGTATTTTGTATTCGTCCATTTTCACCAAAAAAAATAAACCTGAGTGTTTGTAACCATTTCGAAACTTTTTTTCTTCACATTTATATCGTTACAAAGACTTTGCATTTCAACACTATGGTTAAGACCATAATATTCTTCTGAATTTTATAATTTTGACAAGTGGAATTTCATAATTTTGATAGGTGACTGCAATCAACTTGGTCAACAAAGTAAAGCTCGAAAAAAAAAACCTTCCCACCGACAGGAATTTCCATAAGAACATCTAGAAAAATGAAACAGTATAGTTGTCACGAATAATCTACTTCGGGATTTGAGAAGTATAGTTGTCACGAATAATCTACTTCGGGATTTGAGAAATAGTGACATGTAAATGAGTTCCAAAATGGAAAAAAATGCGCAGACTGGGACGAAATATTTTTTGACTTTTTGTAATATTACGATTGGACCAAGCATTTAAGACGTAAAATGCATTACTT